GCGAACAGCCCTTTACATTAGCATGGGAAAATTTCCCCATCTCATCTTGTCTCAGCACAGCCATCAGTCTAGAAACAATTACAATGCCCCTTTTCAGAGGTCTACCCTGTGTGCACACACAGAGAAGACACCTAGGTTGTTAAAGTTAGCATGTTGGGGGGAGGTATAGCTCTGTGGTTAGTGCGTACCTAGCATGCACAAGGTCCTGGATTCAATCCCCGGTACCTTCATTAAAAATAGGGGATGGGAAGGGATAAATTGGGCACTGGAGACTTGCAAATACTAACTACTATAAATAAAATAGATAAACAAGTTTATACTGTATACCACAGGGAACTGTATTCAGCATCTTCTAGTAACTTATGGTTAAAAAATAAGAAAACAAATCTATGTATGTTCCTACATGACTGTGTATTGTGCTGTACACCAGAAATTGACACAACATTGTAAACTGACTGTATTTCAATAAAAATTTATTTTTAAGAAACAATATATGTAAATAAGTAAATAAAAATGTGATTACCTCCTCCCTCTCATAAAATAAAGTCAGCATGTTAAATAATTTTCTTGAAATACTGCAACTAGCACCCAGTTTACTTCCCTCACAGCCCTTACAATCATCTAATTTTAGTCCTTTTGAATTGTCTGGCACACCCTCTGGCCACTAAACTTCATGGAGGAGCTTGATCTTACTCCTGGCGTTAAATACATAATGGATTTTAAGTGGAATTGATTCCAAGATTGGCCAGTGAGGAATGGGTCTGTTGTTATAATCAGCTTTCTGAAAATTTTAGCATCGATACTGAATCCCTTCCTCTCACTTTTCACAAGAAGCTAGACTTCTTAAAGCCCAAACATGGATATGATTGAAGTGTCCCTGGCTTAAACTTAATTTAAAGTAATTTGGTATAAATTGAATTAAAATAATTATCTTGTGCAGAAGAAACTTCAAATACTTTTTCAGAATGTAACCATCTTTTCTTTCTCTACTTTGTTCCCTTCATAACAAACTTGAAAACGCTGGGGTGAGTTACATAATTAGAAATCTAGCTGCAAATTAAGTTCTCAATGACATGAAACACATTTTTACTCCTTAAAAAAAATCTTACATGCAGTACATTAATATTTTCTTTTAGAAATTACTTTGACAACTTAATCCCTAATTCAGGACATCCATATAGTTAATTTATAGAAAGGTTTTTCAGTAAAATACTTCACATAAAATATATATGAGATGCTGAGATCTGGATAACAATACACCTTATTTGAAAGGCATTCACAGTTTACAAATGCTGCAGCATAATCCCATTTAAGGCCGTATTTACTTGAATCCTAAATGCTTGGGATTCTGCTTGAGGGGAGTTTTAAAAGGCCTGTGTCTTCTCCTGTGTCCACAACTGTAGAAGCACACTGATGGCCCTGCTCTCCAAATTTCAAATAAGGGGTCAGAGCCAAGGGTAAGGATAACCAAGAAAGTCTTAAGTGGGGAGGATATAGTTCAAGTGGCAGAGAACATGCTTAGCAAGCACGAGGTCCTGGGTTCTACCCCCAGCACCTCCTCTAAAAACAAGTAAATAAATGAATAAACCTAATTATCGCCCCCCCTCAAAAAAAAAAAAAAGTCTTACCCATAAACCACAACCAGCAATTTCTGGAATGCATCTGTCATAGCCTTTGAATAGCAAGCTTCTGGGTTATCTTCCTTTTCTTAAGGAATAATAATGGCCCTAAATCCAAGAAAAACAAATGGACTTAAAATGCCTATCTGAATAATTGATTTCTGTTATACATTTAAAAAGAAAAATGCATCTGTGATTCTTAGATCACTATCACAGCAATTAAGGACAGGGCCAACACACACGTGTGGCTGAATGGCTCTGTTGTAGATACATCCTGGCAGGACACATTTTTACTGCCCAGATCGATTCTGGAAGTTCCTGAAGTACTAGACAGGAGATGCAAGCCAAAAATGCAGCACAAATCTCCCATCACTCAGATTTCAAATGGACAAGCTAAAGCTATGCTCCTGCTCTCCCGTGCATAAACAGCTGGAATCGCACAATGAGACAAATTTGGTGGTGGTGCAGATGATCTGGTCTCTCCCAGGGCATCAGCCACTAGGGTGGATGGTGGAGCCTCCTCCACTCCATTAACTAACAGACCTGCCTCTGACTTAAAACCCTAACCCCAAATACCACAGGTTCTAGGAAAAAAACTCAGTACCAGCTGGAAAAACCTTTCTAGGGATCTACATTTGACTTTATCCACTCAAGTCCTTGTATAGGAAGCAAAGGACTGAAAATTTACACAAGAATTTAAATCTTCAGATGATGATTTTGTTGGGATAACTGAAGGCTACAAGAAATCTGTATTGGAAAGGACTATTTTAGCACAAAACAAATTAGTAACCAAAAATGGGGAAAAAAAACTTCCCTCCTCCTAAGTTTGACAGGCAGAGCTCTAAAATTTTAAAGTTAAAGGTTCTGTAAGGCATCACCTAAGATAAGAACCTATATTGCAAGGCAGAAAAACTCTGCCCAGGGCTTTAGTTGCTTAGCCAGGGTGATGTATCTGAAAAAAAAAGTTTTAGAAAGAAAGAAAAAAGGAGAAATCCCACCCCCTCACTACCCACCACACACTGGGTAGTCCCAGGGTTCCTCGGCCATGCCAGCTCCAGGACACACATACTTCTACACATTTTATAAACAACTAAAAGTATTAGCACTCTTTTAGCATCATCTGTGTTAGCAAGTTCCTTTGAGAGTCCAAGTATCTCGTGTTAGCTCTCTAAGTAACTTAACACATTACTGTGGATTTCTTACATTGCTAGTTCTTTCTTATATCTCCATTTCAATTTTAGATAGGATGTAGTATAGAAATATATTCATAAAAGTTTACATACAAATCAAGTCAAAGCATTCTTTTTTTTTTCTTTTTTTCATACAGCTCCCTTGCCCAAAAGATGTCAGGATGTGGTCAACTCCTCCAAAGAAAAGACACAAACGAAGAGGCAGACAAGAAAATCATTACAAGTCTCTGCCCAGGGAAGGCAATAGTGCCAGGTGTCTCCTTGAGGATACGCACAGGACGGTTCTTCCCTCACCAGGGGACCAGTCCCAGAGGTCCAATCTCCTTCTCCAGGAGCTAGGTAGTAGCAGAGCCAGCCTTAGGCTGGGTCCCACCCCTGGCTAGACTCCTGGGGCTGGCCCAGGCTGGGAGTGGGCTTCCTTCTCACTGCCGGCTCCCTGGGGGAAGTGGAACCAGCAGAGGAGCCCCTGCTAGGGGAAGACCATGAAGAGAGAAGGGAGCCGCGCTAGCCCTGGTCCCCATCATTCCATGCTTTCCCCTGATCTAGATCAATCTGACCTGGGCTGACCCTCCCCACTCCACCCCCGCCCATGCCTTCAGAAGGCTGGTCTAGGGGAGCCCCTGTGTGAGGCACTGGCCTCAAGACCTGATTCTGTAAGGTGTTGACAAAAGAAAAACCAGACATCGAGGCAACAGGAGAGGAACAAAAGCAGCCAACACTGGAAGGGACTCATGACACTAGGACAATCCCATCCCCTACCACTGGGGCACTGGAGCCCCTAAAAGCCTGCTGGGCCCTCCAAAACCGTAACATCCTATGGAGACCTGGACCTGCCCCTCTCTTCACAAAGACCTTTCCTGGGTCTCACGCTCCCTGTAAAGCACACCACAGACACATCACTCTGATCTGAGCAAACAGTGCCTCGCTCAGTTCTCAAGACCTGTCCTTAGTCCCACTACTTCCCTCTGCATCGTCCCGCGCGGAGCCAGGCGAACGAGGCAAGCGGGGCGCGGCTCGCGTGCGCGCGTGCGGCCTCTCCCTTCCCCATCGCTGAATTCGCTTCCTCCGTCCCTCGCAGCTCCGGTGGGTAATGGCTCTGGCCCATGCACCCTAGCTGCCGGCGCTGCGCCGCGCCTTTCTGGGCTCGGCGCCTAGTCGACCTCTGGCCCGGAGCGGGTAGTCAAGAGAGCCCCGCGCCGAACCACCGCCGCCTTTCCGCCCCGCCACTACTACGCGCTCCCTTCCCCACCCGCACCCTACTCCCCGCCAAAGCATTATTCTATATTGATTTGTTTAGGGGGTCACCTTGCAGCGCCAGGCTCGTGCAGGGTGGGGGTTGGTCACCTTGCAAAGCCACGCTCGTGCAGCGGGGGGCGTCACCTGGCCTGGGACTCCCAGTTATTGGGGCGAGGGCGGCTTTCTGCATCCCTCCCTTCACCCTGGCCAGTTCACCTGCAAGGCCTCGGTCCTGGGTCCGAACTCGGCTCCCACACCAGCAAGGTTTTGTCACTCCGGATGGGAACTGCGAAAGGCACCAACTCAGCCATCACAGTAGTAGTCACCGCGGTGCGCTGTGGTTCTCTGACCGTTCCTTCGCCCCCTCCCACTCTGGACGGGTCTTGGCCTCTGGTTCCCTTCCCACAGCCCGGCAGCCTCCAGGTCTTTGGAGTTTAGTGCTTCTGTTCAAGTGTATTTTTAGGGTAGAGTCCAAAGGGTTAGTTTACAGGATCAAGTGGTACAAATGTCTTTACAGCAGATAGCTTCATTTTCAAACTCCCATAGAAGACTAGAATACTAGGTAGTTACCACTAACGACCCACAGAACTTTAGAAATTTAAACTTCCCAACTCTGTGGAATGTGACCACTAAAGTGAAATCCTTTGACCTGAGTGTTTGCATGAGTTTTAAATATATCAAGATATAGCTCATTAAATCTATCAACTGTCTAACATGAAATCATTGAAAAGAATTCCCTGAGTTTCCTTCATGATTTTAGTGAATGATGTATGAGAGCTGGTGGAGGTAGATGATGTGGGAAGTTGGGAGGTAAGGTGAGGAGGAGAGAGAAGTTTGGAAAAAGTTGGTCAAATTAGGGCACCAACGTTGGAGCTCATGGTGCTGGTGCCGGAGAAGGGCTGTTCTAGGCATCCTAAAAGTTGGCTGTGTTACCGAGGAAATAGAGCAGATCCCTTGAGGTTTCCAAACAATGGTCTTCAGACCCATGCTGCACTATGATGAAGTTTTTACTAGTTCTCAGCAAAATGGGAAAAGGACAGTATAATCAAGGTTTATATATTTTTAACACAGAACAAAATCTATTCCTTCGTATTATCCTACAAATATGACTTTCCTTCAATTTGATGCTAAAAACTGTCTTATGAAGAGATACTGATAAAGGATAGTTGTTTTGATTAACACTTAGGCATTAAAATTAAAAGTTGGAAACTTTCACAGTCTTTAATTTTTTTTCTTTGACATTTCACTGGTCTGTGAAATCCAAAAGTCTGGAAATCACTGAATAGTCAAATCACTCATTTTATAGCTGAAGGAGTAAAAGTTCAGAGTAGGATTATGAGTGGCTCAAGATAAAACCCAAGTTTAGTCAGACAGGACTGATGGTGGTTCTGTGCAGGGCATTCCTCCAACTGTCCCTTTTCTGTCTTTGCAGTGTCCTTAAGCAGGTTTTACTCCAATCAGCACCATCCAAGCAAAGCAGATCCTGAAGCTTTTTATTTTGGGGGGGTGGGTAATTAGGTTTATTTATCATTTTTTTATTTAACAGAGGTACTAGGATTAAACCCATGACCTTGTGCATGCTAAGAATGCACTCTGCCACTAAGCTATACCCTCCCCCCTGAAGATTTTTAATTATCTAGATTCTACTCTATTCTCCCAAAGTACCCCCAAATCACTGGCACCTGGCACCATTTCTCCCCTCCCCTCCACTACCTTCTCCACCGCAATATACCAGACCCTTAGCCCCACCCATGACCTACTTCTGAGCTTTCTCACTTCAAAAATAGTTGGCTTTGGAGGAAAAACTTAAATCCTGATACTGTTTCAAACCAATAATTATAGATTTTACTACCACTGTATTCATTGTATGTATCTATTCATTGTCTCCATTATGCTTGTGTGTCTCTGCTCCCCCAGCTAGATTATGAACGCCTCATGAACAACAGTTATGCTTTGTCTGCTAGTCCCGAGCACACTCCTCCTCTGTTAGGTACTCAAATACGCGTGGAATTAATAATGAATACGTTAACACAGTCTTTGCACAAGGGATGCTTTCATAAATCCAAAAATATAGGAACTTCTTCATTATGGTCTTCTCGGTTTGCAAATGACAGTCAGGGAACCAGGGGCCCGGACCTGGATGGAACAAGGACGAAGCCCTAGAAACCATTTATTGCTGGGGCTCTGGTCAGTTTTATTTGTAAACAGGAAGGGAAGAAAATGACAGGAAGTGGAGGCAAGAGGAAGAAGAAATGAAGAATTCCGAAGTGAGGAGAGGAATTCTGGAGTGACCTCACCACAGGCCTGTACCCTGCCTCATCCCATGTGGCACCCTGTCATCCAGCAGGAGAGTGGCCGGCCTGCACAGTGCAGCCTGCATTTTACCCTGTGGAGAGAAAGAAGACCAGTTCTTGCTTCCACCTGACCAGCTGCTTCCCCGCCCACATGACCCAGAATAGTGAGGCTTCCACGCAGAGCCACGCCCAGCATCCCCTTCATGCCCAGCCGTCTAATCTGTCCTCCTTCGGTGCCTCTGATTCTTCCTTTAAATTCCATTATCCGTGTTGTTTGCCCTCTTCCCCATTCAATTTGCTTCCACATTTCTTTTTTTTTTTTAATAGATGCACTGAGGATTGGACACAGGACCTCCTGCATGCTAAACTTCACTCTACCACTAAGCTGTACACCCCCCACCACAGGCTTTTGAATTTTTATTATTTTTATTGTTATTTGCTTCTACATTTTCAAATCCTTATCTCCCTCTGAAGGAGGAGAGCACTGTGTTACAGGGCTGAGAGTTATTAAAAAACAAACAAACAAAAAATCCCAGAGGCAACCATTGACTTTCTTTTCCATGATAGTCATCCCCTCTTTTGCATGTGTTTTTAGAGAATGCAAGGCACTTAAATCCTTCCCTTTTTCAGTTTCACATAGAGACAGCCACTGATATTATTTATATATCTAGTTTGAAGATCAGAGAAGTTAAGTAACCATCCCGATGTCCCCCATTGGTAAGCTGACAGCTGGGGTGTCTGCCCAGCTGATGAACAACACACTTATTCCAGAAAATGTTGCTGCCAGCTATGGAGAGAGGGCCCTGTGGCAGCCAGGTTTCTGTTGCTCCACTGCTCCCAGGCCTACGGCTGATTGAATCAAGCAGGGACACAGGGTCTAAGCTGAACCCATCAGATTCTCTAGCTCAAGCACTTGAACTGGGACTGAGCCTAGCCAGGCTCTGTGTGGTTGCTTAGGACATTAGCCCATAGATTCAGGGCAGACATGGTCCTGTGGACAGTAGAGCAGAGAAAGCTGGTCTGCAGAGGAAGTCGTAAAGCAAATACACCAAGAGAAGCAGAAACCTGCCAAGGAAAGCTTGCTGACAGTTTCCGGCCCTGCTTCCGTCCTCCTCCTGAGGCCCAACCTCACCCCTCGTGTGGGCTCAGTAAGACCCCTTGTCCTCTCAGAGTAAATCTCCTTCGGCTGGCTCAGGCGGTTCTGTCACTGCAACCAAAAGAGTTTGGTTTAACTCAGTCAGAGGAAGAGCCAGATCTCGGGGTTCCAAGCCCTGCCACTAGCCCACATCTTTCTAGACTGTAGAAGACATCTAGGCCTGCCCTAGTGTCCCTTTCTCTGTCAGCTCATCCTTCTTAAGACCCTGCCCACCAGCTTAGTCCCACGGGGTCCTCCTCACCAGTTCTTCATGCCCCCTGCTCCGGACACGGTCTTTTTTGCACAGTTGATGATTGAGAGAAGGTTGGGGCTCAGCAGTTCTGAAAGGGAGGAGGAACTGTACTGGTGACAGCACAGGGGACAGTCCCGAAGACTGAGGCAGTCACTGGCTCTCCCCGCACAGGTGTGTGCCGCCCAGAGGCCCGAGTACTTCCAGATGGGTCAAGGCCTCCCTCCTAGAGGCCCACTGGGGCATCCATACAATGGCTGCTGGAGGTTGGGGGGTGGCCGGGGGTAGGGGCAGGAGGGACAGGAAGCCTGAGATTTGGGCTGGTTTACTACCACACTTTCTAACCAGAGTAGATGGTGGTTCACCCCTAGGTTTGGAGGTTTCAAGGGAAAGCACAGAGACCAAGGTAAAATCATGCTTAAGGAGGGAGGCACTTCAGGTGAACAAAGGAGGAGATAAGGGACAGAGTCATGGACCCGTGGAGCCTCCTGGATCAGCTCTGAGTGGGGAGTTTGACCTTGGCCTTTGGTTAGACTGTTAGCCAAAGACAGTACTGCTTGGTGGTGAGATCTGAGCTTTCAGGGCCACCAGTTTGGCATTTGGCACTGGTTCTATGAGCCTCAGTTTTCTCGTCTGTAAAGTGGGGATCATACTAGTCAGCACTGCATGGCAGTTTGGATGAAATGAGCTATGCATGTAAAGTGCTGTGTGCATAATCCACTCTTAATAAATGCTGGCTGCTGCTGCTCTACTGCTGCTGGCTGTGCAGAGCCTGTCTAGAGCCTGGGGAACACCGCGGCAACTCCTATGGATGGGCAATTCAGGACACAAATCAAGCCCTCTGCTCAGTAAAAGGATTCCCTGATTCCTTGAGCCACCCCACCAGGGGCCATTCCCAGGCTGTGCGTAGGAAGGGAAGTCCTATGCATAGAGCCTGGTCACCTCTCTCACCTCTCCCACCCTGGGGCCCTGGCCTGACCTTGACAGTCCACGTGGCAAGGGTTTTCCGTGTGACTCTGGTAATCGTTGCACCAGTAGTGGCTGTTGATTTGGAAGATGCCGTAGTCAAAGCTGCCATATGTATTTTCATTTACCTTTGCTATGTTGAAGTCACTTTCCACAAAAGCCAGGCTCAGCCCTTAGATCAGGGAGAAGAGGGTTTTTAGAGGGGACTAAGCTGAGGGAGAAGGGAGATGCAGGAGGGAGACCAGGAACCAGAAGAAAGGAGCAAGGCCTTAGAGGCTAGATGGGGCTTGCAGGCTACAACACCCATTAGCTTCTCCTCTCATCCTTCAGTCCATCCACCCACCCATCAGCACAACCGCCCATCAGTCCATCTGTCCATCCATGCTTTCTGCCCTCAACAACCATCTACTGTGTGCCAGAAACTGTGCAAAGCCCAGGGAGGGACATTGAGCTGGATCAAGTGCAGATGCTGCCTTCAATGCACGTGTAGGAGAAGAATGAAGCTATGTGCCTAAAAAAAACACAAAGCAAGATGAAAGGAGAGAGTGCTGTGAGAGAGATGTGCACAAATTCTGGGCAGAAGGGAGATTTCTCTACCATGGAGTAGGATAAAGCCTTTACACTGGCTGTTTCCTCTGCCTGGAATACTCTTCCCCCAGATGTTTGGGGGACCAGGTCCTTTATCCATTCAGCACTGCTCAGTGTCACCTCCTCAGAGAGGCCTTCCTTGATTTCTCTTCTGTAACATTGTCACCTATCACTCCCCCTGCTTTACTCCTCTGCATAGCATTTATCAGCACCAGGAAGTACTTCGTATATTTGTATGTTTTGTTTTGTTTGCCTCACATTCTTCCCCTAGAATGTGAACACTGTGAGGGAAGGGACTGTGTTGATATCTATACCCCCAGTGTCTAGAAGAGTTCCTTGGACATACTAAGTGCTCACTTAATAATCATTGAACGAATATGCAATGCTGGGAAAGGCTTCTTGGAGAGGCTGTGTTTTGAACTTGACTCTGGAAAACAAGTGACAGAAGAAGACAGCTGGCCACGTAGGGCATGACTGGGAGAGGAGGTGCAGTGGGGCTTGGGGGGAGGGAATGGCGCTCACAGTCACTCAGAGAGTGGCCCTCAGACCCATCCAAGTCCTCCTTGTGTGGCACTTTGGCCAAGTCACAGCGGCTGATGGGTCTGGCCTGACTTATGGCCACCAGGCAGCTGACCAAGGAGATGAGTAGCAGGCTGGGCATCCTCGATGGAGAGGAGGCACAGTGGAGGGCGTGCAGTGGCAGACCGGCAGGTCCTAGGGTCTCCCAGACTGCCTGCTGGTTTGCTCCGAGGGCCTGAGGAATCTGGAGAGAGTAGCCAAATGTCCTCGCTCACTCACTGCTCCCCACCTGGCTGTTTCTAGTCTTTCCCCTCATTTATTATGTTATAAATACTCTTTTATTGCGGAAAATCATATACGTTTATAAAAGGAGAAAGAATAGTGTCATGAACCTCCGTGTACCCATTGCCCTGCTTTAGGAGTTAAAAACCAAGGCCAATCTCCTTTCATCTGTAGGTCTCCACATTCCTTTAGCTGTTCTCACCCTTGTGATGGGCACCCAGCTTGGGGCAGCATTTGGGTACAGGGCTGGGGAGTGAGGTGGGCAAAGGAGATGAATGAGAACTCTCCTTCACTAGTATTTGTTAGTTTGTATTTGCATATGTGATTTCAGAGGATGGGCTAAGACAATGGACACTGATCACTCCCAACCGCACACCCCATGTGACACGTGACTCTCCCTAAGGGGATGCCCTGCCTGGTGCAGTTCGCTGGGAGCCGGTTGGTTATAGGTCCTATTCTTTTTTTTCCATTCAGAGGTGCATATCATAAAGCAATCAAGAATGATCTAGTTGTAGAAACAACCCTCACTTTCACTCTCTGTGTGTGTCAGTCAGACTAATTCATTTAAAGTGTACAATTCGGTCATTTTCACAGAACTGTGCAACTAGCACCTCAGTCAATTTTAGAACATTTTCTGTGTGTGTGTGTGTGTGTGTGTGTGTGTACCTTTCCCCTTAAACTATATCCTTAGGGTTCCTCCACCCACCAGCTTCATGAGTCAGGACAAGATGCTGCCCTGATGCCCTGTTTCCTCAGGGATGTTTCATCCTGTTTTCTAAGACTCGCTCATAGCAGCCTGTGCTTGTGACCATTCTTTTGCTTCTCTTTCCCACCCTAGGGTTGCCAGATTGAGCAAATAAAATTACAGGATGCCCAGTTACATTAGAATTTCAGACAAACAACAAATACTTTTTTAGTGTAAGCACGTCCCATGCAACCATATTCTGCCCTGACTCAGTAGGTTCCTTCAGAGACAGGTGTCACTGAGCCTCAGAAAGCAGGGAGCCCCATCTCTGCTCCTGAAGCCCCCTCTTGGGGTTCCCTTGGGGAAGACAGTGGTTCTGGCAGGTGCGCACCCACCTTCTCTCTCCAAGCTTACCTCTCTCCTATCCTTCTCTGACCCCAGGTCCCACCTCCTCTTCCTCAGGAGCTACCCTTTAGCACCCCTTGCTCACCACTCTCCAGTGTCTAAAAAAATGGCAGGAGTTCTGGGCCACCCCCACCTTCTAGAACCCCAGTTCTGTGACATCATCACTCTTCTAGAAATATTCTGGTCTTAACCATGCAAATTGGCTCAGTTTTGAGGTCTGTCCTACCTTCAGGCAGAAGTAGCAGATGGGCCTGGAAGGATTGGTGACACTGTGATGCAGACCACTGGGTGGGACAGGGTAGAGAGCGCTGGCTGCTCTGTCTGCCTCTCTCCTGCCTTCTGGGAACAGGACTATCTGTGAGGGAACTCCTTCCCCCATGGGGTTTTAGTGGGGCTGTCAGTCGCAGGGCCCTGCCATCCATGTGACAGGGTATGCCCAGGCCACAACCAGTATGTCTTGACTTGAAATTAAGCAGAGCAGCTCAGCTTCTTACAGGAAGCCTTGGGTGTAGGGCCAGAGGCCGACAGTTTGGAATCCTGTGCATCCAGCCCATCTGAGGGACTAAGCCTCCTTGAAGAGGGAGCAGTGTCCAGATAGAATTTCAGTCCCAGGGTCCACTCTTTCTGCAACCTAAACACGCTCTGGTCCTTACTGCAACCTTGCGATTCAGTAAAGGTCCTTTCTTGTGTAAACATATTTGAGTTGGGTTTCTGTCACTTGAAACCAAAGAGACCTGCCTAATAGAGTCAGCATGGGGCTAACCATCCTTGGAGTGGTGACCTGACAACCTGCTAGCTCTCCATGAAGGCCACACATGCTAGTATCATAAGTCACCAAGGAAGTCTGGGAGATACTTCCATCAACTGCAGCAAAGAGGAGGCAAGAGAAAGTTTTGTTACTGATCCTCACCCCACCCTTGGAGACAGGTTGCTAGGGTCTGACAGGAAGCAGGAAGAGCTTTCTAAGTGGGCAGTGCTGCCCTGTACCCTCCATCTCTGGACTTCCCTCCCCAGCAGGACAGCAACACATTACATCTTGGGATGTGAAGCCAGCAGGACTTGGGTGGAGGCAGAACCCCAGGAAGAGGGCATTCTCGGGGTACCACTTTATGAGGTACTGCTTGTGACCAGAAATCTACAGGTGCTTCAGCTGACCCAAATAACCTCGTCTGTGCAGAATTAGAGCCACGGGCAGAAGGAGAGGTTTCCATAGCCCAGGTCCACATGCTGGAAATTGGCCCAAGGGAGGATCTCCCTGCAGCCTAAAGTCTTAGAGGGGATGATGGCAGCACTCAGAGGGGGACCAGAGGGACCCTCAACTCTCCACCCACCCAACTGTGACAGACATGAGCCCTGGATGGGTTCTTACCCAGTCAAGGAACCGGAAAGCCCAACCTGGGGCCCATTAATAAATTCTGGATGTCATAGCCTAGGGCAAGAGGACATGAAGGCCACAGATCATCTGTCTATATAAACATTTACAAGTTATAAATCAAACTAACAAGCTGTCAACTGAAGGTTATGTTTGTAGTAGAAGGTTCTAAAGCCTTGTTGCCTCAAAAGCATTGCTGAACACTTTCTTCCATAAAATCATAGTCTGGCTCCTGAGAGAGGCCCCAGTGGGACTGGGAAGTGCCAACGCCTGCCGCTGGCCCTGAGAACCTGGGGAAGAGAAGACTGCTTATGTTCCTGCTCAGCAAAGTGCAATGGAAGATCCTAGATTGTGCTGTGTAAATAAGATAAGAGGAATGCAAATGTGCCTTTGAAAACTTAAATATGGACCTTAGTGAATGAGTCTGGATCATTGATAGGCTAGATAGTGGTCTAAAATCCCATGGTGGTCCAGTCCAAACACACCATTCACATAACTCAGAAAGAAGCACGCCAGCCCTGTGAGAAATGAATCTTTCCACTGAGCTAAAAATCTGCCTGTTTCCACCTCTCTGCTCAATCTCAGGCCCCATGCATCATCCACACAGCACTGTACCCTCCTGCATGGGATGGCTAACTGCTGGCCATGGGAGCCAAACCAAAGTTTCTGACAAAGAACCAGGTTCATGGAATTGTGTGTATAGGTCAAGCATGTGACTACATCATTGTATGTTCCAGTGTGATCATGGCTGAGCATCTACATGGGACTTACCTATTATTGTATTACTTTCCTTCAGTTTCTCTTTTATATGATAGTAGTGCTACCAAGTCCTAACTCATTCTGCTCATGGCACGACAGGACTATAAATTGGGAGATGAGGTGTTGGGGCAAGGAATAAAGGCTTTATTTGGAAAGCTGGCAGACTGAGAGGATGGCCCACTAATGTCTTGGAGAACCACCCTCCCCCTAGTCAGAATACAGGCTCCTTTTACACACACACACACAAAACAGGTGACGGGGTGTGGTTGGTTGTTGCAAACTTCTTGCTGTAGGAATTCTTTGTTCCTGCAGCTGTCCAGGTCATGGTGCTCCTGAAAAACCTCCAACAAAATAAAAGCTACCTTCTATTCTGCAACTTCTTATCTTTATATAAGTGCAGAAGTGTTAATATCTTAAAGGTCAGAGCCTTGAGAAAAGGCTCTCCTGTTTACCAGGCAGGCTAAAGGCAACATTGTTTTACAAAAAGCTCAGAGCCTGCAAGAGTAAACCCAGAAAAAAAGGCACAGTGGTTAAAACCAAAGGAACAGACCCAACATAGAGTCAGATCTGGTCCCCTCTATTACAGTAGGGCATTATATTAATTTTTAAATTTACCCTCATTCTGAATAGATGAACTGCAGTATATTCATATGATGAAATACTACTCAGCAATAAAAAAGGAATGAACTATTGGTACATAAAACAACATGGATAAATTTCAAAATAATTATGCTGAGTGGAAGAAGCCAGAGCAGAAAAAAAGAAGTATACATTTACAGAAATCTCTAGAAAATATGAGCTAACCTACAATGACTGGAAGCTGCTCAGTAGTTGCTTGGGGTGAGGAATTAGAAAGGAGCACAAGGAAATTCTGGGGGGTGATGGAAATGTTCACTATCTTGGTTGTGATGATAGTTTTTTGGGTATATAACATATTAAAAACTACCAACTTGTACACTATAAATGTGTCATTTATAGTATATCAATACCTCAGTGAAGTCCTTAAAGATTTTTAAATTAATATCATTACACAAAATATATTTTACGAAAAGGGAATTATGGGTCTGTCATGGTTGAGAACCCCAGCATCAGGAAAATTCAGAAGCGGAGAATTGTTTCTCATACATGCCTGTTCTCCGGTCAACTCGCTGTGCGATTTATCCAGTGGCCGCTAGAGGCCAGCAGCGGCCAGCAGTGGCGCATGTACAGGAAGTTGGGGCTGGGGTGGGCAACAACACTTCTTGAAAGAATTCCCTCCTCAATGCTCGCTAGCCCGGGAAGTGGGCATTAATCACCCCAATTTGCACGTAGTAGAGCTGGGATTTGTGTTGTGATCTCTTTGGCTCCTGATTCCACTTTGTTGGTCCAAGAGACCTTCCTGCGCTACCTCATGTCCTGTCTCCAGTGGGTGGGCAGCCACACCACTCATACATCCACAGGCTCAGGGTGCCCTCTGTGTTGGCCTTGCACCTGACTGAAACAAGGCAGGGTTCCGTTGAAGCACTGAAAAGGTCATTTTTATAAGGGAGAGGGAAAGGAGAGAAGGTTTAATTAGGGGTAGGGAGGTGATGGTGGAGCACCTGTGAGCTGCTCCAGTGGAGGTCTCCCCGCCAAAAAAAAACTATCGCTGATGTCTCTT